ATCATTACATTTAAGTAATTATTTTTCTTATCAGTTAACCAATTTAATCGTAAAATCCATTACAATTTCAAATTTATTTTGGTAACTAATTTTTTTTTCCCAGAAAGGGTTATGTTTTAATTCCGACATTTTGATCTGGTGTTATAACGAGTCTCCCGCTTCGAAATTGAGTGGTTAATTCATGGTTAATCAAGTTTTGTTTAGCAAAGTGTAAATTAGATATTGGACTTTTCTTATTTCAGTAATTATTTTTATTTTTTAAATTTTTTTCTCATTTAACGATCAAAACTCTGACTAAATATATAAATAATTTTTAATATTATTTAACATTTTTAAGGTGTTATATATAATTTTTAATATTACTTAACAATAGTACTGCAACTAAAATTCTTATTAGTCTAATAATAAAAAAATTTATTTATTCATTGCAAGCTAATTACTGAATAAATAAGTTTATTCAGTTATTATTTTTTTCAAATGAATCTCAAAACAATAATGAATGGCAAAGACAGAGAACCAACTTGCCGAATGAAAAGTAGATTAATTTAGATGAGAAAACGTTTTTAAATATAAATTATTCCTGGTAGAACAAGTCTTTATTCTTTATTTACAAGTAGATAACTACACATGTAATAAATTTTAAACTTACTTTTATTTAAATAAATATAGAAAAAATAAAATGGGCATAAAATAATGAAATATATTTACTGCTAATTAAACATCAAATTATTTTATACACTGCAATGAGTACTTTATGAAAATTATGTATGANTAACATCATAACTTTTTCCTATAAGAAAAAATAGTTGCTTTAGTAAAACCGTAGTTCAAAAAATATTCAAACAAGAAATAACAGTATACATGTTTTAAGAGCTCAAAAACAAGCACCCATTTTCGAGACTTTCCAGACGGGTATCAGAAGAAACAAAAGTGATTTGAATTATAAAACGAAGAGCTGCTATTGAAAAATGGAATAAATAACGGCAAGATACAAAACTAGAAAAAAACACGGACGAGAGAGAGAGAAAGAAAAAAGGATATCTTGATCATTTTCCCACCTCTGTTTATCATAAGCGTTTTGATGTTTATTTAAACCACGGGGTATGTTACAACCTCCTCCGGAGTTGGGAAAAATTCGGCTCCATCTCCAGACGTATTATTACACACATTCATTGAATTTAATTTATCACTTTACACGCTCAATGAGTGACAATTTAATCGAAAAACCACAACGTTTTTCTTTTGCTTTTATAACCTTTTTATTGACAATTTTATTTCATTCTGTTTTTCATACTCAAATCATTACATTTAAGTAATTATTTTTTTTATCAGTTAACCAATTTAATTGTAAAATCCATTACAATTTCTAATTTATTTTGGCAACTAATTTTTTTTTCCAGAAAGTGTTGCGTTTTAATTCCGACTTTTTGATGTGGTGTTATAACGAGTCTCCGGCTTCGAAATTGAGTGCGGATCACATTTAGACATGCTCAAATCAAGCTACGTAAATCCATATCGCTTAAATAATAGTCCGATTTCACATGGTATTTAAAATTCTTCAACATATTACGACGCTTAGGGACTTATGGACTTAGCTGCCCCAGTCGAAACGATGAGGAATTTTATCATGGTTAATTCATGGTTAATCAAGTTTTGTTTAGCAAAGTGTAAATTAAATATTGGACTTTTTTTATTTTAATAATTATTTTTATTTTTTAAATTTTTTTCTCATTTTACGATCAAAACTCCGACTAAATATTTTTAATATTATTTAACATTTTTAAGGTGTTATTTATAATTTTTAATATTACTTAACAATAGTACTGCAACTAAAATTCTTATTAGTCTAATAATAAAAAAATTTATTTATTCATTGCAAGCTAATTACTGAATAAATAAGTTTATTCAGTTATTATTCTTTTCAAATGAATCTCAAAACAATAATGAATGGCAAAGACAGAGAACCAACTTGCCGAATGAAAAGTAGATTAATTTAGATGAGAAAACGTTTTTAAATATAAATTATTCCTGGTAGAACAAGTCTTTATTCTTTATTTACAAGTAGATAACTACACATGTAATAAATTTTAAACTTACTTTTATTTAAATAAATATAGAAAAAATAAAATGGGCATAAAATAATGAAATTTATTTACTGCTAATTAAACATCAAATTATTTTATACACTGCAATGAGTACTTTATGAAAATTATGTATGATATGAATAATGAAAATTAGTAATTTAAAAGTTACATTTGTACATTAAAAGTTACATCTACTTTTAAGCACTTAATCAAAAAAATATTTCGTTACTTAATTTATTTACTTATTCCTTTGATGTGCTCGCCAATCACCAGTTTTAACCAGTTTCTCACCAACATTTTTAATCCCACAAGCTTGACAAGAAAAAAGTTTTATTTTATTTCATAACCGTCGTTGAACAGCCGTCCCAATTTTAAGTTTACGACTACTAATGTTAAATTCCGTAGCCAAGTAATTTTGATTCTAATCCAGAAGATTTAAAGAACGCTCCTAGAAATTTGCCTTCGTGGAGGACTTTTTGATGGAACTAACCAGCATTTGAGTTTCACGGAGAACACTGCTAAAAATGGCGTCTGAT